GAGCCGACTAATCCCAGGGCGACCACCTGCTTTGCAGATAGCTTAGAGTCACCGCATTTGAACCTCTGTGGCCACAAAGGGATTTTTATTCCTCCTTATATTTGAACCTGAGACGTCCTGGTACTTTTGACATTTGGAGTCAAGCTCAAACCAATCAAGCACCACCCTTATGGTTAGATAACATTTTTTAAGCATATGTAGAAAATAAAAAGATAAGTATCTTTTTGTTTGTTTATCCATGAACTTAATAAATGTTATGCTAGAATATTTTTGCATTGATGCTAGAAGAGTGTAACAAGAAAGATGTGTTATAATTTTTTCAGATCGGTAATCTTTCATATGGTTTTCAAGATATCGATGTTGATCGGTCTATTGCAATTTTTTTTCTTCTTTGGCATTGGACTTGAAAAATATTTTCTAATATTTTTAATTCTTGATCTTACTCTTTATTAATTTTGTAAGGAGGGTATTACGAGTGGAAAGGGAAATGCTCACTTATATTTGCTAAGGATGCTAGTTTTACCATATCGACAGATCATCTAAATGATATCAATTTAACTTAGTTCGCCAAAAAGTATGCGTCTCATCAGTTCTTATAGTTTGAGCTCATTTTATTATAACATATAAAATATTTTTTCATCAATGTTTGCTCCTCTTTTTTGAATTTTTTACCTAGCAAAAAGTTGCAACAAAAGAAGTAGTGAAATAATGCTAGACAACAACAGGTAAATAGTTCTAGAAGTCTACTTTGAGCCCATACAACAATAAAACCTTATAAGTCAATTCTACTTGATGGATGCATGGTGCTTCTATAATATCCAGGTTTTGTTAACTCGTATAATTGAGATAAGTAAATTTTTGGTAGAATTATGCATAATATATTTGTACCCTATACTTAACCAACTTGTATCTCAGACCAGTTTTATGTCAAAAGTTGAGTTTATACCTAATTTGACGTAAAGTTGAGAATATAAACTTGAAGGGTTAAAACCGTCAAACGATTAAACTTTATATATATACATATATATATATATATAATTAAAAATAAAAAGAAAATAATATATATATATATATATATGTGTGTGTGTGTGTGTGTGTGTATGGATGAGCGGTGAAATCACTGTCTCAGTTTCTGTTTTTTTTCTTTCTTTTCTCATGTTCTCTCTCTTTAGATATTTCATCTTCTCTTCAAATTTCACGTCAAGTTACTAAGAGGATCGAGGCAACAATTATATATTCGGAATCCACTCTATGAACCCTTCTTAAAGGTATAAATTTCATTCAATTTCATTAAGGTGTTTATTTTAGGGTTATTTAGACCGGTTTATAAACTGTGTTTATATCTAAGTTTACGGATTGATATTGTCAAAATTATGATATATTTGATGTTTAGGATGCTAGTACTGGTTATATTGATGTAGAAATAAAAAGGGTATATTATAGTTTCAATATGATTAGATTGTGGGTAAATGTTTAACCGTACACCAATTGTTCGGTTAAATGTCGGAAGAAGTAAAAATGCATGATTAAGCTTAGGTTAACGACCATTGGACTTGTTTTACTGTTTAGTATGTTGAAGTACGTTTATAGCATGTAAATATAGCAAATCATGAAAATTGGATCATAAAAGTTAGTCGGGAATTACGGAATCGAATTTTACCGACAATGTAACTCCCGTACTTTGACAGTATATAACTCACAAACTGTAAGTCACATTAAGCTCGTATTTTGCAGTCAGAAAGATCATACTGCATACTACAACTTTTATTAAGGGTCAAAATTCCAGTTATGACTCTAAGTAGCTCAAAACAGTGTGTTTTTGAGGCTGTTTACACTGTATCCGGGATTAATTTATAGTTTTGTGAAATTCATATAAAATAGATGGATGATCCAAATGAGATGATTTCAAAAGCATTAGACTCGTATGATGCCAATCTACAACTTTGATTTAGACAATATAATCTATATTGGTCTCTAAGTAAGATAAAAATGCTTAGAAATAAGAGGGTCGGAAACGGTTGGATTGAAAGAGAATAAGGTTAACTTTTTACGTTTGAGTTTCAATTCGTATCAAGTACATTATGACCTAAGTAAATTTATTAGAATATTTATATTATGGTTTCTATGCTTTATAAATAGTAACCGTTTATGCATTCGTTAGGCATGCGGGTAAATCAAACTTGATCGTGAATTTCCGTTTGATCGTGCGTTAATTGTCAAATTCGGTTAAGGTACGRATTCCATATCTCACTTGACACGGGGATAGCCATTTGCGTAAGGTTTCCTAATCCGGATAATCTGTGATAAATTCCGAATAATTTGTTCTGAATTTCCTTTATGCTTATCAAATGTTATTGAACTTTGTTTCCTTTTGAATTACGACTTATATTCTTATTCGAAATATGGATCATTTTGATCACTTGACTTGTTTTATTGCTTTATTTGTGAGACATTTTACTATACACTCAATAACTGGAGCACCGGTATTGAGATGTTTCCATGGTGACTAAAACGATCATGGCGTCATCATTTTTATAGTCCTTAAAAGTGGACTTGATTATGTACCGGTCGAATAGAGGGYGTATGGATCGATCCTAGGAACCGTTATCGGATAATGAATTGTGGCCGTGGTTAAATCCACGGAGAGGATTGATGTGTTGTGCTCACATCCCTTTCCTCACTTGTACCTGAATGGACTGATCATCCTTTGGGAATAATGCGTCCTCATGATGCGGTTTGGTCTTCGGATCCTTGACATGCTTTTGGGGCATTTTGACTTTCTTTTGGATTATCACTTGGCGTTATAAATTGTTTTTGAACTTGTTATCTCATATTCATTGTTTATTTATATTATTATCCGTTCATTGAGCATTAAGCTCAGCTGAGATTTTCTTGTCCTCGGCAGGTACATGACTTAGCAGGGATTTTGGGATGAGAGTTACGGAGATGACAATATTGAAGATAACTCATTAAGTCATACTTTTGTTAAAAATTTGATGACTATGTAGACATACTGGTATTTTGGGACCGTATTTTGAGACACGTTATCTCCGTCTGTGGTTACGTAATTATCTTTTAGTAAATTTTATTAGCCGCTCTATTTTATAGAGCGTGTTGTTTGTTTTATTCCAATTGTGGCATCTCCCGTCTTTGACCACGCGGGACGGGGGTGTTACAACCTCTATGCAGAATAAATATCAGAATATCTTTTAGTGTAAACATGTATAAAATTTATCTTTCTATTTTTTATCAACCATGTCAACAACAGGTATTAAGGTAGATAATGAGTATATTTCGGTTGTAATTTACACTCAATTATCACCAACTACTATTGGAATCAGGCTTTCACTGACAACCAACAAGAGTCAAGACTTTTGATGGCTTACACCTCCTAAAACATGTATTACATGTATGTCATTACATTTATTAACATTTTACATTATCCTATAACTTATTATCAATACATATTACATGTATCTCTTCACACATAATAGTCGTATATTGTTGACTTTCGGGTCACGCTGGCCTGAACAACTAACCGTACTTAATGTTGATATACATATTCATCATTAGTCAAACAAACGATGCATAAATTATCCACACCTCGTCGTTATTATTATTCATTTTATTTAATTTTACAACTTTATTCATAAATAAATTTTTATATATGCATATATATATATATATATATATGTGTGTGTGTGCGCGCGCGCGCGTGCATATATGTATATATATATATATTAAAATTTAACTAATTAGATTTTATTAATTATTTAAATATTATTTATTAATAATTTTATTAACAACTGATATATATTTATATGGTTTAAATGCATGAAATAAATTTTCTTATTATAACATTCTACTTTTATTTTTCTTTATTATAGCAATGTACTTTCAAATTATTTTTTATTAAGGCATCATACTTTAAAAAAAATCTACTCATTGTAGCAATGGGTAACCTGTTACCTTTTAAACCGGTTAACCCCTTGACCCTTTTTGGTTGTGTGACTTTAATGAGGTGATGTGGATGACATATCATTTTGATGACGTAATTAAAATAAAAATAAAAACTTATTTCGAATTATTATTAGTGATTTTCATTTTTCATTACTATGATTTAAAAACATTTAGTTTTTTTGACTTTTTTCTTATTAAGTAGCATGCAAATTAAATATTCTAGAGTAAAATATTTCTTAAATAAATATATACTACATTATTTTCGAGATATATTTTGTTTATAGAAAATGTAACACTTTTTATTTTATGTTGTTAAAAAAATACATATATTTTAAAGTTCTCTCTAAAATGTTAACGAAATAAATTGTGTTCTATAATTTTTAGTATTGTTATATTAATAAATAATTCAAAAAAATCTAATTAATTTAATATATTTATACGTCAAGGAAGTTTTTTTGAACAAATATAATATATTTTTTAAAAGATGATATTTTTTTGATAAAAGAAGAACAAATTTCATTTTTATTTTTTCAAAAAACACATATTTATTAAAAATATTAGCGAGATAAGTTTTCTTCTACTAGTTTTATTAATATTGATATATTAATGAATAATTTAGAATTTTTTTAATTTATTTAATATATTTATTAAATAACATGTAAAATATCTAAATATTAAAATTAAAAGTAAATTGTTTAATAAGAACTAGTAAATAATATAATAAAATAATTTTAAAAGTTCAATGTTGTAATAAAAAAATCACATCAATATAGTATATGTGGACAACCTATATGAATAATGAAGTAGCATGAAAATCTGATATAATAAATAAATTTAAATTAAAAAATTATTCAATGTTATAATATGTAAATTTATTAAAATATAATATTTTAATAAAAAATAGTTTAAAAGTAGATTATTATAAAATTGGAAGTATAATTCAATAATAAAAATTTACAAAAATAGATTTTATGCGCCTATTTATACCGACAATGTTAAGATTATTAACCAAACTACTCGTGTTTCCCACGTAACACGTGGTTCCAATTTTAATTCCATTTCGTCTTTTGATCGGTAAACGGTGATGAAGCTCCCATGACAGACCCAACGGAATCTTTGCAAAACCCTCAACTGGAATACTCCACTTTTAATTCCAATTCTCCCACGCTTTCAAACCCCCTTCCGATCCTTGATACTCCACTTCTTGATTTTTCTGTTGGTTCTTATACAACAAGCATTTGCTGATTCTTCCCTTGATTTTGGGGCATGCATTGCCATCGGTTATCATCGGTGAAACGACAACTTTTTTCTGCTGCGATTTTGATTACCATTTGTGATCGGAACGAAAATGGACTCGTTACATGGAAGCTTTATCCCTCACTTCAAAGTGCGACAACCAATTTTGGTCTTCTCCAATCGCATCAAGAAACAAGATTCTCTGCTTGTCGTAGACCTTTTTAGGTATTTTTGTTTTCAATTTTCCTTCTTATTCTTCATTGATTCAGGCGTTAATGTTCGTTGAATTCAATCTTTTTTTCTTCTTGATAATCGATATATGTATACAGCATTGGTTTCAATCATTAGAAAATCTTAGTGGATTGTAGAATCGTGTTGATTCGTAATTGACATGTTATAGAATTTGTGTGTTCTTTTACAGTTTAACATAGTTTCACTTGTTTACAACTATGGAAAATGATATCAAGGATTTCAGATCCAGAGTATCTGAAAGAATAATTATAGCCAAATGGATAAACTGATATTAAGGATTTAATATTAATTTCTTTCAATGACTTTTAGCATTAGGGTTTTTAGTGTGTTTCAGAGAAGATTGGTCCAATTGCTTGTTATAGACACAATGCGTTGATGTGATCATGGTATTAACTTGTATTCTTTGCATATTGAAATATTCATCAAAAAGAGGAAGAGAACCCCTGAAGTTTCAGGCTTAACACTGACATATTTTATCAAGATATCTTGTTTTGAACTTGTATCCGATCATTTTTGTGAAAGCTTGCATGATTAGAAGTTTCAAGTCAATCATCAAAACGAGGGCAAAATAATACAAATTGAACCCTGTTTATTTTTGGCGTATCCACACGAAATCATATGAAAAATGTAACTAATTCTTCCATTTCATTGGGCCACTGGCTGGCCCTTGAAGATATTTTATCAAGATTTTTTTCGATCCAACATCCGATCATTATTCATCCATCTTTTATGGGTCCTAATCCTTTCAGGGAGAATTTCCCAATTTCGTACACTCGATGTAGAACCCTTGAGACCCACTGGGATAATACTCAAAGCATTCGACACCCAGCTGTTTCCAGTAATGATGACTCGAAGCAGCCTGAGTTGATTTTTACTCGACTACAGCTCCGCGATGAGGAATACCTTGGCATGCAAAGGCGTAGCTTTGGTAGTTACATTGCTCGTGAAGCAGTATTGAATGAAGAATATTGGGTTGGTTTTCCTTTTTCTTACTCCTTGTTACCTTACTTAGCCTCTTTCCTTGAGTTAATTTTTCTGAAATTGCTTCACGTATCAGATGGCATCTTGGCTGCGAGCAGAAGCTCATTGGGAAGCCTCATCCTACAAGCGGTTAGTGATTTTCTATTTGAGATATGTATACCTTGACCTTCTTGGGAAGTTTAGCAAATTGTGCCACCGTTTTTAGCTGTTGCTTTTTGTATATAAACTTTATATATGCAGTTTATTTGGTAGATCTTGACAATGTTCAATTTGTAGAGCTAACTTCATCACTCTGTCAATTTTCAGGCACGCTGAAATTTTTAAAATGAAGTATGCTGATCAGGTAATGTGTTAAGACAACAATTCTTTGATACGGGGTTAATATATTTCGTACTTGAATTGTGAAACATGAATTCACACATAACACCATTACATATTTGTGGGTGAAGATGTTTAATAATAATGATAAAGAGATGATAAGATTTGCAACAGGGGGAGAACATATAAAGAAAATTTTCATACCAGCAGAATTATTGGTGGTTACTCATCTTATGGTCCACCGATGCATAGATTATTTTTGGTTGGTACAAGCAACTACCCTGTGCATTTTTATTAGTGTTGCACAGATGGAGTGTTTATGGCAGGATCTCCAATGGTTTCTGTTTTTATCTTTTAAAATTTCTTGAACTGTCTTTCTAGCATTTCCTCCATCATATATGTGGTTTTCTAAAAGAACATAAAAATAAAGAACAAAAGAAAGGTACATGATTGAATCCTGAATGCCACATGATAAAAAAAACTCTGCTTTGCCCCCATTATTGAATCCTGAATGCCACATCTTACTTAATGTGAAGGAGTTCAAAGCTTTGAAAAAAAGATGTTCAGGACAGGATGGGAACTTGTTGCAGTGCTTCTGTCTTGTTGCTGTAAGTCTCAGCAGATGCTCTTTTTATTTCATTGCTTCTCTGTCTTGCCATGTTTGTTTATTTATCTACTTACTGTATTTAAATCTGGAAACCGGAATAGCATAATAATCTACAAAGTAGTAGCAATGAACGTGTTATAGTTGACTCAAATAGTATATGCTCCTCATCTTAGTTCTCGTTCCTTTTTGCATCATATCTCACCTTAATCAATTCCAGTTTCACAAGGATCATAGCATTTACCAATATCCCGAGTCCCAACTGTGGCATAAGTTTCCTTAAATGGTCCACCAATAGGTATCCAGGGGCACTTATTACACGAATTGGTATTACAAAATATGCGTCGATGCATAAGATGTGAAGTAAGTAGTTCAATCATTTGAAGAGTCTATTCTTTGTAATGCCATATGCATAGTTCTTTAAGCATAGACATAGAGCTGAGCATAAAATCAACCTGACTGCATTGTAAGGGTCGAAAGTTACCATGTAAAGAATCTAATTTTTGAGTATTTTGAACAGAAGTTATCAGAACTAGTATGTCTTGGTGTCGTGTTATACGTTGAATGGAAACTTATCACGACTCATATATCTCTTCTCTTGTTGTATGTATATTTCCCATCATCCAACCTTTGCCAAGTTGTTATGCAGCAAGCAGAACATTTGCATTTCATTTCCCTCACCTTATTTGAGCATCTTTCAGCATCTAATTTGCTGACATTACAGTCAGGGACTGTATGGGTTGTCTGTCTGGATAAATATGTTTGTTTTGAGGGACGGGGGACCAGGTTTGAGGGAGGCGAAGAGAGAGGGTTGGATTAGTTATGGTATTAATTTGTTCGATATGGCTTACAGGGACAAGTGAGGGGTCGTGGCTTATTCCGTATAGCCATTTTGGCTTAATGGTCTAACAATTAAGCTGTAAAGTATCCCTCGTGTATGGCTGAGTAAATAAGCGGCCCAGACCATTGCGCTCATATCTATAAATCCTAATAAATAAGTAACTTTTGGGACACGTGTGTTTCTGCGTGGCGGTTATTGATTTTTTCCGCCTAAACATGTATCTATACACAATTTTCACTTACGGTTCAAATAGGTCTATTTAAGTGACATGTGTCTCTTCGGACGGTTAATTTCACGTATTCGTGGTATAACCGCCTTCGCAGAGTAATTGGCGGTTCAGAGTTCCAAAATCTGGAGTCCTCCTTTCCAGATTTAGAGACCCGTCCAACGATTTCGCCTCTAGATTTAGAAGTAGGAGACTCATAGGTCTCTGCATGTACTATGCAGAGGCTCTGTGTCTGGAGTGAAGCTCTGCATCAAATCGAGGCTCTGTATGTACTATGCAGAGGCTCTGCATCTGGAGTGAAGCTCTGCATCAAGCACTTAACCTTTTTGATGCTTAAGCCCTGATCTTCCTTGGAATACAGCACGGGCTCTGTATATGAGACACTTAACTCTTGAGTAAGAGCTGTCTTTTGATATCTTCTGCATGAGAGTTGTTGGTCCAGTCCGCTTCAAAAGACTAAGTCCTAAAGACTACATTAAGAAACTTCTTACTTGCACTTTTACAAGATCGGGTATAACAATCTCCCCCTAAGTGTAAATAAGACAGACTCAAACTGGAATGAAAACATGAGTCAAATCGAGGCTCTGCATGTACTATGCAGAGGCTCTGCATCTGGAGTGAAGCTCTGCATCAAGCACTTAACCTTTTTGGCATTTAAGTCTTGATCTTGCTTGGAATACAGTACGGGCTCTGTATATGAGACACTTAACTCTTGAGTAAGAGCTCTGTCTCTTGATGTCTTCTGCATGAGAACTCTAGGAAAATTCAGAGTTGTAAGTCTTATAACTCTGGAGTGGTCATCAAAACTTTATTTAAAATTTCAAATTCGGATTTTTGAAGCATTTTTCACAAAGTAATATTATCCAGGAAAAAAATTTCCAAGCTGACCCCAGCCAGGGGCTCTGCCCCTTGGACCCCGCTACCGGGGGCGTTGCCCCCGGAGCCCCGTCGTTTAGGGGCTTCACTCCTAAATCAATATAAACTCAAACAACATAATTCTGAATTCTTGTATTCCAGAGTTAATGTTCAGAGTTCTCTTTTAGAGTTAATGTCCAGAGTTTTTCTCATTTAAAATACCCCCCGTGTAATACACGGGGTCGAACCTAGTTAAGCTATAAATAAACAGCCTGTTAATCAAGGAGTCATCTGAACTGTAGTCTAACATACTGCATCTAAAATACACATATCTAGTAAAAATCATGTAACTTTATCAGTTGAGTTTTTTCTTTTGACATTTCAGGTTAAGAAGGAAGTGAAAAATGTGAAAAGAACTGTCTTGAACAGTATCGTTGGAACTATGGACTTGAGCATCCGACAATATTTGCAAGGAGAAACATATCCCGGGGTAAATTCACCCATCTTATAATGATTTAGTATCGGATATGTTGCAATGTCTCTTCCACGTTTAACTAGTAATAAATAGAGCACTTTCATCTAACTACGTCTAGAGACATAGGTTGCAATGCTCATGGGACGGTGAGAGTACCTTCTTATTAATGTTATCGTCCTCTTATTTTGGTCTTTAAAAGGATAAATCATTTTCTTTCTTCTTTTAAGGAGGTAAAGAGGCAGTCGGGTGTTTTGGCAAGTAAGCAACCTTTCGATGCACACAAGTATGCATATGTTTCAAATGTCGTTGTGGCAAAATATGCCCGGCGCCGGCGAATTGCGTCAAATATGTTATGCCTGGCCACTGATATTGCAACCTCTGTAGGTCGGTATTCCAACTTCGTCCTATCCTACCATATATTTAAAAAAAATGATTGGATTCTAACACCTCTTTGATTGCGTTTCTTGTTTAGGTATGAAGAAACTATTTGTCCATGTATCCGCAGACAACAAGCCCGCTCAGGAACTGTACAAAAAAGCGGGCCTCGAGGTTTGTACAGTCGTTAGATTTTTTCTCTCTTTATTTTGAGATTGTCATTGAAGTTGGCATGTTTTGCAGTTTGTTGCAAGTGATGCTTCAAGCAAGGAGCAGCTACTGATGTGCATGGAACTGTGACACTTGAGGGATCACATACAACATTCTTTACTGTGTGTATAGCCAAGAGTAAATTCACTTGTGAATGATGCAACCATACAGTAGACGACGTAGTTTTTCTTTGGAGCTCTTTTCCCTTATTTCCGATTACATTTGTTAGGACTCAAAATAGAAGAGAAAAATCACACACAAAAATACTTCATCCTTAACTAAAGACCAAAGGGTCATTTGCCTAGCGGTAGAGCCCAACCTCACAGGAAGTCACCAAAGATAAGAAGTGTGCATGCCTTGCTTAAAAAGAAAATGCTTCAATCTTAACAAACGAGAGACTTTTTCTGTACTTCAAAAAAGATACTTCATCCTATACAAATGAGAGACTAAATCTATACAAAATAAGCATGATCCATAGGAATGGAATTGGGCCAATAAGACCATTCTCATTGCATAACTCTATCTAATTTAGCAGAAAAAAGGAAGTACAAAAGAAGACTCTTTTGAGTTTTTAAAAAATTATTAAATATATAGAGATTTTACAACTTGGGTTTTTATGAAATGAACAAATTTGCAACATGTCTTCTATCTACAACTTTTGCGACGATACAAACAGATGACACAAACATAATATGCAGCATGGTTCATTTTGAAAACACGAAAAATGGGCAACGATAATAAAATACAAGCAGAGCAGGAGGCCCTAAATTTACTTGGGTTCTTGCATATCCTCTTCTGTTTTCCAAACGACATCAGTAAGGCTACTAGAAAGTCTTTTGTAGAACTGCACCAACAAGAAACAAACACACGAACATGAGTAGATCAAAAACTAAAACCAATAAGAATATTGCAACAAATCAGATTGGTCTGTTGTATCAGGATATACCTACTACACTTGATTCCTGTGAAGTAAGTGTGCACTGTTGTTTCTGTGTTTACCTCTAATGTCATTTTCCATCATACCCCATTAAAATTCAATTTTTAGGTCTAATATATACGAGGAAATAAAGTTCAATGAGACCCAAAAGCTTAATGGACCAAAATCTAAACACTAAATCAGTAGGTCATCTAAGCCTGTATTTGAATAAGACAAATGTCGGTGAATCCTCGAGAGCAGAAAAAAAATTCCCGAGACAAAATGCAGTGCGACCCTGGCAGAACTTTAGAGCTGAAAAAGAAGAAGACATCTTTTCTCCATATTTAGCAAAAGGATATACTAATATTAACCTTATAATGATTATAATAACGAATGCTACTTGAAACATATCTTGGGCAGAATATCATACCTTATGAAACTCCAAAGTGTCTCCTTTTGCTTTCCGTACCTCAACCATGTGAAGTGATGGTGCTACTTGAAATACCTGGTAAAACAGTACAAATTGAAAGATACTCTATGTATAAGAAAATCATTAAAATCATTTTATCATTTATGCTTCACAACATGTTACCTCGGTAGCAACATTGAGGTTTCCCTTTCTCCCAGCTTTGATATTTTCAAGCCTTAACTGAGGTGAAAAACAGATAATGATTGATTTACTCATCCACAAACCTTAGCCATTCTAAGTTCATATTAATAGAGTAAGTGAGGCAACTTTTTCCAACCTTGTAGTTTTTCTTGTGCACGTCGAAACCAAGAGGTCGTGCCGCTTCTTCGATTTTACTAACTATCTCATTTGCTGAGCATCTTGATGTGAATCTTGTCTCCCTTTTGAATCCCTGCAGCCACGTATATTCCCAGCCCAGATACCATTGAAATTCAGTATTAATATAGAATGACAATAGATATTGCAATGACCCAAATTGAATTGTACTTTGATCTATGCTACTTGATATACATCATACTGAAAGCGAAGATATGCAAGTCATAACGTAAAAGATGTATTCTGTAATATCAATAATTAAAAGGCTATTGGTATATTAGAAACCACATTCAACAGGTAAAGGCTACAGAAAAATAGAGTATTAACCTGTTCAAGCTCAAAAAGATTCCCAAGGTTGAGCCCCTTGGACATAGAGATCAACTCAAAAGCATTCATGGCAGCTGGGAGTTCTTCTTTCTTTTCTGTCACATGATACTCCTGTTTTAAACCAAATATATATGAACTTCCACAGATACTGAATTAAGCATCGCAAAATAAAGGAACAGAAAAGTTTAATTTCATAATGAGACAGCAAGCGACATTTCGAGTTGACCTCTATGTGAAAATAGATATCAACTCTAAAACATTCATGACAGCCGGATGTCTTTCTTTTCTTTCACATGATACTCGGTCGGAAACCAAATATATGGTCTTTCACAGAAACAGAATTAAACATTTGTAAAGTTGGGGACTGAAAAGCATGTTGATAATGCGAGAGCAAAAGATATGTAGAGTACATAGCAGGCCAACTGCCAAGATTGAAAACCACAATACATATAAAAAGGGTATTTGTCACGATATCAGGACCAAGGTACCCTAGTTGTCTGACCATACCCACGGAGACTGACTCAATTGGAGACTTTTTTAGAATAGCCAACCACCTTCTTACAAACAAAATGACAACCATCTCGATATGCTTGTTACAATCATGAAAAATATGATTCTTGGAAATGTTTGCACAGAAGCCTCATTATTCCAATGCGTCTCCATCAAACTAAGCGAGGAATGTGTTGAACAAAAGTCAAGTAACGTGTATGCAGCATGACCCCATACTCAGACTTTGTTCTAGAGAGACAAAAGACTTGCTGCTTCTTACTCTTCCAAGATATCATATTCCCAGAAGAAGACATATGGACCACAAATCTTTTTCACACTAAGTGAAACCAGAGATATTTAGGTATGTAACCTTAAATGAGATTTTAATTAAATCCATGACCTCCTCATGAATATAAACCCATTTTTTCTTATATAGTCAGGAGGTCATTTTTTCTAAATGACTCAGTGAAACCATCTAGATTTTGCAAACTGGTCAAGCTAAAGCATGCCCATCATGGAGCACAAATCCTTTCCAGAAATTTCTACTAGAACGTTCTCTTCTTCCATCAGTTATATCATTTGCTTTACAGCTTTACCATCCATCACAAGACAAGTATGCTACCACATTAGGTCAATTACCAAACCCATGATTCTTAGAAACGCCAACAATGAACCAAGATGCGTAAATGGACAGTATTTTTAGATCCGCTTTGACTTCGACTCTAGCTGAGTCAATACGTCATACAAGAGAAGGGAAATGAATATTCGACATATCAAATCAGTGATCTGTCCTGTAAAATCTGTGAGAATTCCTCACTAATACTCCTTTCCGTGGCAAGGACTTGCAAAAATTAGTCCATTCGATTTATCAATTGAAGCAGGTGAACATGAGATGTTAGCTGCCAGACTCTGGGAACTCCTTTGAGCAAACCTTTTCAATGAATGAAGATGGACAATTTCTTGCAACCCACCTAAATCAAGTTAACAGCAGAATCATGACCTGCCTTCATATCTGAATCAATGTTTTGATTGACCATGTGAAGGCGAAAGGCAGTGGCACTGTTCAAGCTCAGTCGGTAGTGCATGATGATTTTTTTTCCAGCATGTTAAATTTTTTGTTGCTCTTCCATTTGTCAGGGACAATTGATCATGTTCTAATACCAAGAGCATGGTGCTCTGATGCCATGTGAAGCAAATGAACAAGCTTAATTTATTATTGAAATAAGCAAAAAAGAGTCACTAATGGGCCAATGTGCTGAGATAGCAGACCCTGAAAATATAAAAATATTGAACATCCTTTATATCTAATAATCATCGCTCGGAAAAAGGTTTGAAGATTATATATAGTATAATAAACTTGGTAAACTCACTTCAGAATCGCGAAAAGCAGCTTCCACATCATCAAAATTTGTCTCTTCTTTCTCGATGAATTCTGGTTGTTTATAACCTTTTTTAAACCACTCATCATTCAAAAGCTCGGGTATCGTGATCCGCTGCCACAGAAATAGGGTGTTAAGATAGGAATAGTTATTTGCATGTACATAGGCTGTCAAGGATTGATCATAGTGATACCTAAATGCTGCAAGGAACTCGGATACAGTTACTAATGCTCTATTAGTACTTGCAAATAGTTGCATCACAATGATCTTTTTTAATGTATGCATATTATCGAGCTGGTACTACAATTAAATACTTCCTCCGTCCCAAAATAAGTGCGGACATTTCTATTTGTGTTTGTCACAAAATAAGTGTCAAGTTTCGGAAAAAAATAACTAAATTCTCAAGTATACCCTTAATTCATGCACAAATATTTAAGAGTTGTGAAGAGAGAGAAATTAAATAAGTGTAAAGTTGTCGTTTGGTTAACTAAAAAGTGTAATAATTATGAATGTTTAAAACTGTGCCATTTCAATTCTGGACACTTATTTTGGGATGGAGGGAGTACATGAGAAGACGGAGAAGGACTGGGGAAGATAACTAGAGACTTGAGAGCACAATATATAACATGCAAATCACCTACTTGTGATCATTTGAGCTATTGGTGGGAATATGGCATGTAATTGTCTACTTTGATGACACAGTTCCTTTTTATTTTGAATAAAGAACAACATAGTTCCTTAGGGACCACTAAGCTGTAAACTAATTGATACAAGTAATGAATTTTGTTGAGGGGAGGGAAATATGAACCCAATTTTTCATTTTTCAATACCAAAATTAGTTCTATGTTGTTAACTAAGATTGACATGTGAAATCATACCGTGACAAGTTCCCAACTCATCTAAAAGTTTAAGCTAGTTAATGGAGAGCCAAACAATCATATCAAACATAACATATTCAAAACTACTTCAAATTTTCAGCAATGTCTTCCTCGAACATTTTTTAAAAATATGTTTATGTGAAAGATTTACTTTCCTAGTTTCCCAGTATTTACATTTTGTTTGTTAACTTTGACAGGTGAAGACAGCTCATGCATCCAAACTATATTATACGACTGTTAGGCTGTTTTAAATGAATAAATAAATATGTCTTGCATAAGTTGCATTCCATCCATATATAGAGGACACTAATTTCAAGGTGCTTTGTTTTGGTCAAGAGCTACCCCGCATAAAACTTATTCATGGAATGACGAAGCCATTACATCAATAACAAACGTCTATACAAGTACAAACACTTACCGTCATGGGGTTGGGATCTAATATGCGAGTTATCAACTTTATGGCACTAAAGGAGACCCACGGAGGACAAGTGAACTCAGCAGCTGAAATCTACACACCCAAAGTAACTAAAAAGGTGATGATGATGATAGGGAATCAACTGCATACACAAGTTAATATAATGCTCACTTTTTTGTATAGGTTCATAAGATTAGAATCATCAAATGGCAAGTAACCTGCAAGCAATACAAAAAGTATGACTCCACACGACCATAAATCTGCAGTTGCCCCATCATAGCCTCTGTCATTCAAGACCTGAAAAGGATGAAATATCATCACTACATGGACAAGCACATGGGGAAGATGTGTACGGATACTGAAGAAAGAGCGCATAATATTAACAGCTGTCTGCACCTCAGGAGCCACATAATTTGGAGTTCCGCAGGTTGTGTGAAGCAAGCCATCATCCTGTAAAAAAACATAAATTTAAGTGCAAACCCAACTCATACACTGATTCTAAACTCAAATATATCCATACAGCAGCAAGAGGTTAAAAGTAACAGATACCCTGTCAGACCTTAACAAGACTAATATGACTAGATCTGCAGTTGTGCCGTTCATGCTTCCGTAACAAAGTTGGGACATTTGTACACTCCAACCCTAAGAGAAGTATTAGAAGTCATATTGGATTTACATCGACTCTTAATAGAGTTGAAGGTTATATTAGGATATCATTCTTTACTCCTGCTTCCAACTAGGCTTGCTTAACCTAAGATTTCAATTGGAAGGGCCTCTTACATTTCCTTTTCACATAATATGCTTAAAAAATTCCCTATATTTTCCGTAAGAAAATGAAAACACTATGTTTGTATGCATGGTAACATTGGCAAACCATATTTTTTTCCTTCGCAAGCCAATCACCCTGTGATGTATGACAGTTTGTACAAAGTTCTATGGGAGCTACTGACACTGCCTTTGTACTGCAGTGCTTTGGTATGATCAGATGGGATCCAAGCTAACGGTTAGTGCCCAATCATAATTTGAAAACACTGGATGGAAAACAACAAAAAAAGAAGGGTTGCATTCTTCACAAAGAAGGGGGGCAAAGAGAAGGCATTTTTGAGGGCAGAACAGTCTTTTTAACAGCTAAACCGTACCAACAACCTGAAATATAGTTCATGAATTTTGATGATACATTGGGAATCAAGATGTCACAGTTCATATACCGGTCACATGTTATAACGTTCAGTCTATGGATTTAACATGAACTTGAAGAAATATAGAATATGTAATCTCATATTTATTTACCCTAACTTGTCGAGAAAGGGCACTCAATCCAAAATCAGAAACTTTGAGGTTTCCTGAAATATCCAGAAGCAAATTTTCCGGCTGCAGCAAAAGCAATGTTAAAAAGTAATGAGACTATAAATTCAGAAGGACATCATTATTCACTAATAACTACTAGGTGAAGAGGAGTTTTTAAAAGAAAAGACCATGTTGACTACCTTTAGATCTCTATGATAGACACCCCTACTATGGCAATAGTCAACGGCATTGATGAGCTGTTGAAAATATTTTCTGGCCTCATCTTCATGCATTCGTCCATGGTTCACCTTCGTAACCAAAGTGTAACATTAAGATTCATTCTTTCTACTCCCGTAAATGGGGGAAATCTTTCACGCATTTTGTGCATGAACGTTGACAAATCAAATTAAAAAAAACCAAATGACAAGAAAATACACGTGTATAAAGATCAGTGAATTACAATTTTATCAAAAAGCTCTCCCCCTGTAATGAACTCCAAAACGATAAATATCTTGGTCTTGCTCCCCATAACCTGAAGGATGAGAACATTGTTAGCGGTTACACATAACATAATATTACTGTTAGATACTGTTCAGCATGATTTTTAAACCCCTGTCCTCTTTTGGAAATCTAATTATTGAAGAAAATGAGATATTAAAAGAAAGGTCACCAGGAGTTCCATGTTATTCCCAATAAGATTATAAAAAGATAAGCATACAGACACTACTTGTAGGATAATAATTGTGGTGCGGGAGACTAAATGTAAATGTAACCTCATGTATCGTCTTCTTTTGCAGCATCATTTATACAACAGATCTTATAGCACTATATGCATCCATCAGATGTTATGTTTAAGTCGATTTATAAGATCTAGACGAGTGTTTATGGAAGTATGCAGATATTGCAAAAAAAATGAAGATTGAGCCATTTCCTTGCTAGATTTTGGTATGACACAAGTGTTCAATGGAGGATGATGCTGCATTTTGGACCATGTGTAAAGTACTGTTTCAAGGTTTAGTTGTAATAGAAGATTCCGACCATGCCACTTCAGTACTGAAAATGGTCTGGCCAAAATCTAGACTCCCATAGGTAGCATATGATCTTTACCTAGATCAACGGCACCGTATATTTCACTGCTAAAACATTCAATAGAAGAAGGAACAATGATCCTTATTGAATAGATATCTAGCCTTTCAGATAATCACTATGGTCGAGCAGACAACGTACTCATGCGAAGCATATGTGTTTGAGAGAGAGAGAGAGACCTCATATAAGCGAACGACATTTGGATGCTTTATCAACTTCATAGTTGCTATTTCCATTTTTATCTGCATCCCCGAGATAATACATAAGAAAGGAAGTAAAAGAACGAATTTGATATATGGGAAGCGCAAAGTGTAAAATATTTCATTCTGCATAGACAAAGCAGTGAAAATCATTCATCAAATTTCAAAAGGCTTTAAAGAGGTTATAAGAACAACATTATATAATGATGTTAAAATATATCATGCATGTGTGTGTGCACATGAGAGAGAGGAAAGTCACAAGTCCAAAAACACTTCTCATTCCCCCTGGGACAATAAAAAACAGGAGATTGTCAGAGTTAAATTAACCTGTTCAGCCATTTTATGTTTAACAACTTTTTCTTTGTCAAGAATCTTGAGAGCCACAGGTTCCCCAGTCTCAGAATCCCTAGCGAACTTCACTTTTGCAAAAGTTCCCTCACCAATCGTCCTTCCCACCTCATATTTACCCACTCGACGCTTGATTTTGGGAGGGTTCATCCTTGCTTATCTGTTAAAAAAGCATTATTCATGTGTCAGTAGTTCATATACACTCACACTATGATTAACAACAAAATCATTTGAGGAACCTACTATCAATCACACAAACTTACATCGACAGTCTACTTCAGCACTCTTTATCCTTTTATGTGGCGAAAGTAAAATTTTCATATAAAAGTCAAGCATCTTGTAACCCGTTAATAAATTCCTGAATATTATATAAAAAACTCAGAACATCCTTGATGGGTCCCATGAACACTTATATAAACGGGAACCTAAACATTAAGGTTCCATTCGTTTATACCAATTATCCATTACATCCATATTTGTTTCTTCAATTAACATCAAGTGAAAGGAATTTTGGTAAATTTACTTAAAATTCAAAATTGGTGGTCCAATATTTCCATAATAATCGTAATAACCCTAGGGATAATCACCCATTATATGTTTGTTAGTTTTCTCAGAAAAAAGACAGGCCTCTTATTTGGGAACCTGGCATATCTATGACTAAAAATCTAAAATTTTGCTCAAGGCTTAGAATTCATCCAAGTAGTCCATCTTTCTGCAGTGATTGAATTGTATCAATGGTTGGAGGTATGTGATCTTTTATTGATTTGTTATGCATTGTGATTACACGTGTTTGGTATCTTTCACATGGTAGATCCTATGTTTATGAAATACCATTCATCACAGGGGATCCATTATTATACAAAACCACAACATGATTCATTAGCTAATTTCAAATAACAGATTAAAATTTCAGAAATTTGTAAGGTAACTGAGAGTAAATAATGCTGAGTTCAACTCCATATTGAACTTACACACGCATACCTTCCTGAAAAAGACCCCTGTGCACCAGAGTTAGCTCTGTTTCCAGAAAAGTTATTGTAAACAGTCTTTCCCGAGCACGCAGTACCAGAAACAGTAACTTTAGCGGTTAATCTGAACCAAAAATCAAAGATAACTAAGTAGATCCAGTGACACAGCTTATATGCGACGAAGAATTATCTCAAAACAACTAAATCAAAATCGCAGTTCCTATAGTAAGAAAAACACAGTGGGAAGAATGAAACTTCCAGAACTGAAACACACACACACACACACAAAAACACATTCATATGTGCATAAATATATATATATGTAAGTAAAAATAAGCAAAAAACATCAAGAATACATACATAAATGAGCCAGGAGAGAAGTGCAAATTAGAGAAATGAAGCAGAGTATACCCTAGATTTACTGATATTGAGATGGAGCAGAAGTATGCGCTGTTGGGAAAGGGATAGCAGAGGAAGGATGATTCGTTGTCTATCTTTGAATGGAAAATAATGAAAAATTGGTGAAGCAAATCCAGCATATCTACGGTCTGATCCATGTGGGTCATGAAGCAGACCCCCCATGCCGTCCAACACCCTCCACATATGCGACGACACCCACCTCCTCCGGTCCCATGTGTCATGTGTCTTCGCATGTGTACGGACCTGCATCACTGCTAAAAAAATTATCTATAACTCTTTAAATTGCCAAATTGAAAACGGCCCGTTAGAGACCCATATTTAAGACTTGTTTAAGATTGAGACCGGTCATGTATAGAATCGATATTACTAGTTGTATACCCCGTACAGTGTACTGGGAGTTATAAATGTAAACGATTTAAGTAAACAAGTGTTATGGTTTCAATGAACTCGAACGTTGATAAAATATCTGATAGTTAAAAATTCAATATATTCACATCAATCTAACTTACTACTGAATCATAAAAAAAAAATATTTTACATAATATTTGTATTTGCATCTTAATGTACGAATATGGTAAAAATGATTAAATAATTGACCCAAATATTGGATAAAACCAAACAAATTTAATCATCTACCAGTATTAATCGAATGTACAAATTTAGTTTAATTAAATTGATTATCAAATGTAATATACAATAAACAAATGAATTAGATCAACTCCATCTAAGATGAGATCCTTCTCAAAATAGGTTCCCTTGACTACATAAAAGCGTTCTTTGAAGTTTAATCTATTAAAAATAAAATAAAAACACCCTAAAAATTTATATAAGGATGATTCAGCTTTAGCAGACATCCAACAAATCACACCTCTCTTTGAAGAAAGCCGATTGACTAAAAAAATGACACCTATAAAAAAAGAAAGTTTATTGTAAGAAATAGAATAATACGGGGAGGTTTAAATGAAACCAGCAAAACGTTGGAAACCTGAAAACAAATTTCAACCTTTAGATAGATTTAATCCAATGAATGTGATCAAAAAGGTGGTTACAACATTGGAAGACTCCAATTCATGGGAATTCCGTATTTCGTTTTTCTTTGGGCAAGATGGATATTGAAGCTCTCCAACAGGATCCATTCCAACTTGAACTTCCTATATAAACATAGAATCCCCACAAGCAAATTAACATACATAATAGCCAAAAACCAATCATCATGAAGGCTAAATGCGCCCGTATCCAACATACAACTTATATACGCCTATATACTACAAAGGTTTTATCAGAATGTTAGATGTTTCTAAATATTAAGAAAGAGGTATCCATATATTATGTAAATATTGATAGTAAGTTCACAATTTTAACCAACAGTAATATTGTAGTTGGAACTTAGGGTTCATATAAGTTGATTAATGATGAATAATCCTTTTATCATTTAACTGTAATGTGAAGACTTCTTCTTGCAGTCTTTACCAATCTTTAACAATTCTGTCACAGAAAAGGATTTTGAGTTAGTAGAACGCTTAGCAGATAAAGATTCAGATTTAACATTCATCACAGATTTGATGGATTTGAGAGAAACCTTAGAAACATTCTTATTTTTAGTATTTGAAGGCTCTCCCTTTTCAAAGGTACTCATAGACAGATTTATATTTTCAGTAATAGTTGTTTTAGAGTTAGAAGCAATCTGAACATCTTCTAAAGTTTTAGCAACTGATCTTGAAGACGTTTTGAGATCCTCCTCAAGCTTAATGATTTTACTCATAAGCTGAGTACGATCATCAAAACACGAACTTAATTCATTTTCCAAATCAGAAATCTTTTTTCATGTTGGACACATGCAGCTTATCTTTGCAAACAATAAGCATGGTCAACTCTGAAACTTGGCTTTCGAACTCATTTGATTTGGTTAGAAAATTATTTTGAGAAATAAGATGTAATTATTTTTCATCTCTTAGTTCTTCTTCAAGATCATATATTTGTTTCTTCAAAACTGATATTTTCAAATTTGAATCAAAACGTAGGGTTTGGATGCACTTTCCAATCCTGTTCAGTAATCTCCTCAGTCTTATCTGAATCATATACCACCTATATTTCTGATCTGAATCTGACTCATTTAAAATATTTTCAAAAACTTCTGAGTCATGCTTTCAACAAATTCAGAAAGCTTTTCAGGATTCTTGGAAGATGATTGAAAAACAGATGAAGTTTTGTTTTGAAAGCTTTCAATTGGATACAATGAATCAAGCTCAGTATGTGAAAATTTAATTTCTCTAATCTCGTAGCTTGAGTTCAGATCATCGTATTTCAGCCCAACTGATTTAAAATTTGATTTATCAAAATTTTCTTCATCAGTTTTATCACTATAACATTTTATCAAAAACAGGTGATTCTGATTCAGATTTGACGAAGATTTCCTTATTAAAAGGAATTGCAGATTTTGCAGATCCCCACTGATCAAAATCATATAAAGATTTATGGGCCTTTTTCAACGTGTCATTTTCTGAAAAACCCAAACCCATTTGTGGATTGTAAAATATAGTATCTTTGGGTTTATTTGTCAAAATATTTAGAGTTTGTTCATATTGGCCTCTTTTATAGTTGATATCTTCCTACTTTTTATTTTATCATGAAGATTTAACCTTTCAACAAAAATCACGTCAAAGTTTAATAGAACATTATCTCCTTCACACTCTACTTCACTCAACTTCTTTTTAAGTAGCTAGAAGTCATTTTCAATTTTGGTTTTTTCAGATTTCAGAATTTCTTGCTCTTCCCTAAGACCCTCACTTAAGCATTTATAGCCGCAACTTTCTTCTCTGAATTTGAGCATTAAAGCTCTTTCACCTTTTAATCTGTCTTTCAAGATTTTAAATTCAGCATTAATGTTCTCAATTTCTTTCATCAGTTCAGTATTTAAAGAATTTTGTACCTCATATTCATTTTCAGATGATGAGCCTTCTGCTTCAGTCCTTGCCATTAAGCACATGTTGACTTAGTAAAATGAGCAGCTTCATCATCTGATGAATCTATGAGCCAGCTTTCTTCTTTCTCTACCAAGGTTGTGCCGTCCTCAAGAGCTTTTGCCAAATGAACCTTCTTGAGTAATATAATTCTTTGAACTTCTTAAAACGACAATCCTTGATATAGTATCCAGGCTTCCTACAATTGAAACATCTGCTTTCTTCAGCTTTAGCTTCCTTCTGGTCTTTGGCTTACTGAACTTCTCTTGCTTGATCTCCTTCCCTTTGCTCTTGTCAAACTTCACAAATTCCTTCTTACCAAACCTCTTCTGAAACTTCTTGGTTAGCAAAGCAAGTTTCTTTGAGAACTCACAAATGTCGTCATCAGAATCAGTAGAGGAATCTTCAATTGATTCACTTTCAGTCTGTTCTAACTCTGTCTTCAAAGACTTTGAGCTCTTTGCTTCAGCTTTACTCTTCCCTTGCTTCCTAGACAACAAAGCCAAAGAGTCAGCAATCTTCTTCTTTTCATCCATCAACTCTCTCATAGTTTCATGTTGTTCATATAAAATGCTATACAGATCATGTATGTCCTTCTCTGACATATTTTTATTCATCTGCAAGAGTGTTCCATTCTGCTTTAAATTCTTCAAAAATTTGTAGTTTATCTCAGACATGGATTTCTGAATACCATTCCTCCTTAAGTCATTTAGAATCACATTGAACCTATTGTAGGATTCAGTGATTGATTCGTTCTCTCGAGCCCCGAACCCTTCATATGCACTTATACACTAGTTCATCCTTGTCTGGATAGACTTCTCACTTCCAAGCATTTGCTTCTCAAGCTCATCCCAGAGTTCTTTCGTTGATCCTCTACTGTCATTTCTGTTAAAAAGTTCATTTGGAATTGCCATCAACATGTATGTCGATGCTTTCTTATCAATAAGGACCTTTTGCTTCTCAGTTTCAGTGTAATACTGACGATCTTTCTTTCTTTTAGAAGAAGGCACAACAATACCATCAGTAGTTGTTTGTTCTGGTAGATCCATGTAGCTGATGTAAGGTCCATTCTTGATGGATAGCATTAATATCTCATATTTTTGTCTAGAAAATGGATCATCCGAACTTTCTATTGCATATACTCACCAACAGCATGAACCGGGGGAATGGAATCTGAATCTATGCTCAATATATCGTTTGAAATTTTACTAAGACTTGAAAAAATGATCTTTTACAGAAATTAACAAAGACTGGATTTGAACACAACACAATAGAAAGGAATTTCTTGACAATTAGAAAAATTTCTAGAATGACTTCTTATCGGACAAAGCTCAAAGATATTGGACAATGCTCAAAGATATCGGACACAAATGAAAAAAATATCGAATAGACTTTATCAGACAACACTTTACCGGATAAGACTGGTAATCGAACAAGACTTGATCAATAAGAGAGGTTATCGGACAAAACTTGAAACATGAAAATATGAACAATAAGGATGATTATCGGACAACTATTGTGACTGATGAAGAAGAATATCGGATAGTTTTGTGACCGATGAGAAATGCTTGATCAATAATCGACAAGACAAAGATATCCGAACAAAATTATGATCGATGAACAATGTATCCGGACAAGTCTGTTGTATGATGAAAATAATTTTGCAGAAGAATCAAGCGATGAAGACTTGAAGAGGGTCTCCGGACACCTCTTTGATCAATAAGAATGCTTATCGGACAAAGCACTAGTCGATGAACAATTCAATCAAGTCAAATCACACAAGTAATAAGCGATGACAACAAGATATTGATCAACAAAATCGGCGATGAACAATCAAAACAGACCTAAATCGCTCAAATATTGAGCGATGAAGTTACTATTTAAGAAATCAACAAGTGTTATGAACAATGAAAACAA